GGTTCAAGTGATTCTCCTTCCTCAGCCTCCCCAAGTAGCTGAGATTACAGGCGTGTGCCACCATGCCTGGCTAATTATTTTTGTATTTTTAGTAGAGACGGGATTTCTCCATGTTGGCCAGGCTGGTCTCGAATTCCTGACCTCAGGTGATTCACCCGCCTCGGCCTCCCAAAGTGCTGGGATTATAGGCATGAACCAGCACGCCTGGCCTGGCCTGTAGTTTTATTTGCTACGTCTGGTAGCCCTAGCATGGGTGGAGAAGGCTGTAGCTGTGGGAGCCCAGCCAGCCTGCATCTGAGGCAGGGAAAGGCAGCTAAGGCAGCCTGCCATCAACCCATCGACCTGACAGATAGTGGCCAATGTGGCTTACTCCTCATCCAGCCTGCCCTTGTGCTGTCCTCCCCCACATCCACCCACTGTGATGGATGGATGACCCTTCCTCTTCCCCAGGGGTTGTTTTGATGATTAGATGACATTTCTAAAGAGAGCTTAGTGCACTGCCTGACACCCAGTAAGTGGTCAAGATGGGGAGAAATGATTATTTCTACTGTTCTTGCCCTCTCACAGTGGTCACCGCAGTGCTAAGCATGGTCGGTCGGCATTCAGTGCTCACCATGGAAGTGAACCGCAGGAGCATCCTGGAGCAGTGGAGATGCTGCACTCACCTAGACAGGCGGCCTACTGTGACTTCAGGCAAGTCATTTTCCTTCTCTATACCTCAGTTTCTTTGTCTGCAAAATGAGCAGCTGGACGAGAAACGTACCATTCTTTCACAGCACGTCAAACTCAACATGCCCATTCGAGCTGAGGACACCGAGGCTACTCCCTGGGTGTGAACCTTTGACGGCATCCAGGTCCTGTAGAGTTGTCTAGGAGAAGCCTGACCCACGATGTCCTTTCCGCTACTCACCTGCCATGAGCCCCAGTTCTGAGCTGGAGGGGTGGAGGTAGGTGGAAGGTGGATAGGGTCAGTGCCTCACCTGGCCAGCTTCAGCGTGGCAGAGTCCATGGGGGAACTCACAGCCTCGTGTCTCTAGTTGGTCCGGCTCTGGTCTATTCCATGCTATTCCGTTGTCATGGGCAGGACTGGGTTTGATGAAGTTGGACCTAGGTGTATCCCAGCCTCTCCGGCCTTCCCTGGTTTCTGTCGTCTTTCCGTGGTGCCCAGGGCTTATGTGTCCATCTCTTTGAATGTTGAGTCTACTCCACCCTTCAGGGATCAGGGCTTCCTGAGCTCAGGGTGGAGGTGCTGTTGTCTGTCTGGCTTCCAGGCCCTGGACTGGCAGTGTCCCCCAACACCCCTGTCCAGCTATGCCAAGCCCCCTCCTTTTCTTTCTTGGCCTCTGCCCTGTTTGTTCTGTGACTGGCCCAAGAGAGGGGTGTGGGCTGGCAGGTGTCCCACATAGAGCCTGGAGGCAGCATCCAGGCCTGGCTGACTCACTCCAGGGCCCCCTGCCCACTGCCCCCAGCCAAGCTGGGTCCCCTTCTTCCTGCCCAGCTGAGGCAGGGCCTAGAAGGGCACCGTGGCAGGCCCTCTGTGATGCTCCTGTTGCCATGGTAATCCTAGGTGAGAAGGCCATAGCATTCTGTGTCTAGCACCTCCACCCATCTCCCCAGCTCTGCTCTGCTGCCCCAAGAGATGGCTCTCCACTGGGGAGCTCGAGAGCTTGGAATCTGCTGCAGTCAAACTCTCTTCCATTCGGCCAGGCGCAGTGGCTCACGCCTGCAATCCTAGGACTTTGGGAGGCCGAGGCGGGTGGACCACTTGAGGTCAGGAGTTCAAGACCAACCTGGCCAACATGGTCTCTACTAAAAATACAAAAATTAGCCAGAAATCACTTGAACTCAGGAAGCAGAAGTTGCAGTGAGCCAAGATTGTGCCACTGCACTCCAGCCTGGGCAACAGAGCAAGACACTGTCTCAAAAAAAAAAAAAAAAGTCTCTTCCATGCAGGCCCCATCCTTTGGACCTCCCTTCAACCCCAAGAGAGACCACTGCCCCAGTAGGTAAGACTCTACCTCTCAGAAACTGACCTCTACTGTGGAGCTGATAGTGGGAAAGGGCTCAGGATCCAAAATCAAGAGACCTAGTTCCTAGTCTCAAGCCATTTATAGCTGTGTGACCTTGGACAAGGCAGGCCTTGAGCTTCAGCGTCCTCCTCTGTAAAATGTGGATAAACATGCCATACTGAACCATCCTTCAGTAATACCTATGTGACTTTCTGTGGGTTGTTCCCCTGATGTGTAATGCTCTTCCATTCTTCTCAGCTCCGCGAACTCCTACTCTTGCTTCAAGACCCAACCCAAATGCCCCCTTGTCTGTAAAAATTTTCCTGCCCTCTGTGCACTTGGCACAGATCTTAGGCCTTGCCATTCGAGTTATTTAAGTGTTTCCATAATTTTTGACTATGAATACGTACAGGTAGGAATCAGATTAGGCTCAGTTCTGGAAGGAGAAATGGGTTTGGTGAATATTTTCTTTGCGGAACGGAAAGCAGAAGAGGGCGACCTTGACTGGGTTGGGTGCCATCTCTGCGGGGGTCAATCCTGGGACTCTTGTTCCAGGCACGGCTTGGGTCAATCAGCATTCACGACTTTGCTGTGTGCCTGAGCCGCGCCTGGCTAGCTGGGGACATTTTCATAGCTGAGACCCAGTAGGAGAGACCATGACTTGTGCCAGGGTGTGCCTGTCTCAGCTCTGGGGCAGGGCCAGGAGCAGCTGCTCATGGAATGTCGTTGGGGACATGCTGGGGCCTCTGGGAGGGGAAGGGAAACTGGGCATGCACTGTCGATGGTCCTGGTGGTACTTCTGGGATATTGCCAAGGAACCTGCGGTTCAGGGAACAGGAAGGAAGGACTCCAGTGTCTCCAACTCCCTCTTATGGCTTTATGGCTGCTTGTCGGGGTCAGGGAGATGAAGGAGTGCCAGCTCGGTGGTCTACACTGATCCTGACCAGTGAACCAGGCTGTCCCAGCCAGAGCCAGCTAGTCAAGCACGCCCTCTAGTGGCTATCACAGGGAAGACAAGAACTTGTCTCCACAAAGGCAGGATTTTCCTTTACCCCTTCAGAGAGTACAGAATGAGCATCAATGTTCCAGGCATGGTGCCAGGCATGTGTGTTAACTTTAGTTAAAACATACTTATTGGCCGAGTGTGGTGGCTCACTCCTGTAGTCCCAGCACTTTGGGAGGCCTAGGTGGGAGGACTGCTTGAACCTAGAGTTCAAGAGCAGCTCGGGTAATGTAGTGAGACCCTATCTCTATAAAAAAAAAATTAGCTGGGTGTGGTGGCATGTGCCTATAGCCCCAGTGACTTGGGAGGCTGAGATGGGAGGATTGCTTGAGCCTGGGAAGTGGAGGTTGCAGTGAGCCAAAATCACACCATTGCACTCCAGCCTGGGTGACCTTGTCTCAAAAAAAGATACATATATTTTTATATATTTATTAATATATATTTATATGTATAAATAGATGTATGCACATAAATAAATATATTTGTAATATTATAGACATATATTAATACTTATCTGTATGTGTTAATATAAAAATATATAATATATATTAAATATATTAATATATATTTGAATATATATATTAAAATATATAATTAATCATCTTCTAAATGGAAATCTCTCTCGAGTTTCAGGATGTGTTGGTGGGGAAGGGAATACAGGATAGGGAAATAACCCCTTAAGCAATGACTCAGCACAGGCTGTAAAATTAGAATCACCTGGAGAACCTGAACAATCCCAATGCCTTGGGTCCATCCAGACCAATCAAATCAGAATTCACAGGGGTCAGGCACAGGCACCAGTGGTTCGGAGAGTTGACAAACACATGCCGCATCCATCATTCTCACTCAGCTGCCAAGGTAGGCATCATTGTCCCATTTTGCACACGAGGAAACTGAGGCTGAAGTGAACCCGTTTCTTTCCCCGTTTCAGTTGAGGGCAGCGGGGAGGCAGTAAATACTCCTACAAGGCTGCCTCTACAGAGATTCTTATAATAACAACAGCTTTATTGTTTGCCATGATTAGAAAAGTATTCAAGGTCATTGTGAAATAGTGGTTTTTTTCCTAGGCAGATAATTATATAAAGGCAAAAGTGGTGTGTAGGGGTGGGGGACAAGGGCAGGGACAGCATTAGGACAAATACCTAATGCACATGGGGCTTAAAACCTAGATGACGGGTTGACAGGTGCAGCAAACCACCATGGCACATGTATACCTATGTAACAAACCTGCACACCATGTATACCCATGGAATAAACCTGCACATTCTGCACATGTATCCTAGAACTTAAAGTGAAAAAAAAAGTGGTGTGTAGAAAAATCACCTGCAATTTCAGCATAGTTAACTCTTAGTACTATTTCAGAGACAGGGTGACAGGAAAGGAAGGATAAGGCACAAGGTCATATTATAAATCAGGGCTTCTGGAAGTGTAGTCCCAAGACCACACACATTATAATCCCCTGCAGTGCTTGATTAAAATGCAACATCCCTAAGGCCACAGACTCAGACTCCGGAGAAAGATCCAGAAAACTGCACGTTTAATAAACATTTGGGCGATTCTTATGGCCTCTAAAGACCAAGAACCACTGCTGCCTGGAGCTCTGCTCTCTTCATTGAACAATACAAGAGGAGTGTGTAGGTAGACACCTATCACTTCCAACAGCTTAGGAGAGCCTTTGAGTATGGATTGATGTATTAAAATTTATTGAATCACATGCTGAGATTTTCACCAGCTGCCCGTGGGGATCTGGGCACTTATTCCCATATTGCACTGGCTGGAAGCCAGCAGCATAAATTTCAGGGCTGTTCTGTCAACCCCCACCAGCCCCGGCAAGTTCTCACCCCCCTACACCAGCCCCAGGCTTCTCCTTCCATCTCTCTGAAGCAACCTACTAATGGGCCCTGCCAGCCAATCACAGCCAGAATAACGTATGATGTCACCAGCAGCCAATCAGCGCTCCTCACCAGTATATGCAGAATTCTGTCATTTTACTAGGGTGATGAAATTCCCAAGCAACACCATCCTTTTCAGATAAGGGAACTGAGGCCGAGAGAGGAACTGAAACCCACCCAGAGTCACCACACACAGGTGGCAAGGCTGGGACCAGAAACCAGGACTGGTGACTGCAGCCGGGTATTCATTCTTTCCACAGCCCAGAGGGCTGTCAAAGACCCCAGGGCCTGGTCAGAGGCACCTCCTTCCTGGAGAGTTCCTGGCACAGGAGTTGAGGCTCAGCACAGTCCCCTAACCCCCAACTCTCTCTGCAAGGCCTCAGGGGTCAGAACACTGGTGGAGCAGATGCTTCGGCCTCTGGATTTTAGGGCCATGGTAGAGGGGGTGTTGCCCTAAATTCCAGCCCTGGTCTCAGTCCAACGGCCTCCAAGAAGAAATTAGAGGGGCCGTAGCCAGGCTGTGCTGGCCGTTGCTTCTGAGCAGATTACAAGGAGGGACCGAGACAAGGACTCCTTTGTGGAGGCCCTGGCTTAGGGAGTCAAGTGACGGCTCAGCACTCACGTGGGCAGTGCTAGCCTCTAAAAGTGGGCAGGGGCACTGGCCAGAGAGTCCCAGGGAGTCCCACCAGCCTAGTGGCCAGACCTTCTGTGGGATCACCGGATCCACCTGGAACCCCACCTGTGAGTACAAGGTGCCCCAGGTGGACTGGGCTGGGGCTTTGAGGCCTTCAGGGTTGGATGGCCATCTTGCATATGTGTGTGGGATGTGCACACACAGGCAGCACATGCGTGGGTGTGTGGGCACCTGTGTGTCTGTGCAAAGGCCCTGAGGTGGGAATGAGCTTGGTGTGCATCAGGCACAGCCAGCCAGTGTGGCTGCAGCAAAACACATAGGGAAAGAATGGAGGGGACATCAATCACTGCTTCAGTAAATTTTCATCGAGCGCCTTCTATGAGAACACAAGAGGAGATTCCATTGTGAGGAGGAAACAGGCAGTAAACAGGCAGATATCCTGTATAATTTCAAGTAGTGATAAGTGCTCTCTAGAAATGTCAAGCAAGGTGAGGAGACAGAGAGCACCGGCGGCAGTGGGCTCTATTTCCAGGTAGGATGGTTGGGAACATCCTTTCTAAAGGGAACCTGGAGTGGGAAGGAGCCATGCGGGTATCTCAGGAAGACCTTCCTCCAGGCAGGAAGATCAGCAGGTGGAAAGGCCCTGGAGCCACCATTCAGTAAACATCGTTTGAGCATCTCTACCAGCTAGGTTCCGTTGTGGGAATGGGAATATGGTGGTGGACAGGGCTGCCTGGTGCCTTCCATACTTCTCACACTAGAGTGGTTGAGAGAGCTTGGGAGTAATGAACAAGATGGGCTGAGAACACTGCCTAGCCCAGGGACCTAAGCTTAGTGTGTAGACATTGCTGCTGTTACTGCCTTTGTCATTGTACAAATTATTTATTTATTTATTTATTTATTTATTTATTTTTAGACAGAGTTTTTGCTCTTGTTGCCCAGGCTGGAGTGCAATGGTGCGATCTCAGCTCACTGCAACCTCCACCTGCTGGTTCAAGCGATTCTCCTGCCTCAGCCTCCTGAGTAGCTGGGATTACAGGCACCCACACCACGCCTAGATAATTTTTTGTATTTTTAGTAGAGACGGGGTTTCACCATGTTACCCAGGCTGGTCTCGAACTCCTGACCTCAGGTGATCCACCCGCCGCGGCTTCCCAAAGTGCTGGGATTATACACATGAGCCACCGTGCCCAGTGATTACAGAAAGTTAAAGGCACACGGCAATGCACATGCCTATCTACATCTTCCCCTGCCAAAGCAATGGGCAGCCTCTGGGCTCACTTTCTTGGGTTTCCACCTTCAACAGGCAGTCAGAGCTGGCAGGGCCTTGGAGACCACTTCATCCACCTCCCAGGGTCCCTATGGGAGAGTTGAGGCCCAGAGCAGGGAAGGGTCCTGACAGGCTCTGACCAGGGTCTCTGATCCCTACCAACCCCCAAATCCATGTCCCTCTCTACTAGGACCCAAGCCCACCTGCTGCAGCCAAGTGCCTGGCCATGACCATCACCTACACGAGCCAAGTGGCTAATGCCCGCTTAGGCTCCTTCTCCCGCCTGCTGCTGTGCTGGCGGGGCAGCATCTACAAGCTGCTGTATGGCGAGTTCTTCATCTTCCTGCTCTGCTACTACATCATCCGCTTTATTTATAGGTAAAGCTGGCAGGGCTGGGGTGGGGGGCCTGGGAGGGATGTGGCGTGGGCTGGGAGCTCCTGGGGGCCTCCCAGCCTGCTCAGGGGCCAATGCACCAGTTCACTACAAGACTAAGCTGAGCTCCTGACCAGGTCCTGGGCACTGGAGCTGAGGCTGAGGCTGGGGGCTGGGGAGAGAAAAGAAGTCAGACTGAGAGGCTGCTCAACCCAGGCCAGCAGGGTTTTAGCCACCCTTCCTCCAACCCCAGGAGGAGCCCTGGAGCCCAGAATTTGTCTAGTGCCACTCAACTGGCCTGTTTTATTGAATCCCACACAGACTCATAGGTCCACATGGTATACTGAGAGAGAGAGAGAAAGAGATAGAAAGAGAGAGAGAGAGAGAGAGAGAGTCTCACTGTGTTGTCCAGGCTGGTCTCGAACTCCTAAGCTCAAGCAATCCCCCTGCCTTAGCCTCCCAAGGTGCTGGGATTACAGGTGTAAGCTACTGCGCCTGGTCAACCACATGGTACTTTTTTTTCTTTTTTTTTTTTTGAGACAGGGTCTCACTTTCAGCTCTACAGTAGAGGTCAGTTTCTGAGAGGTAGAGTCTTACCTGCTAGGGCAGTGGTCTCTCTTGGGGTTGAAGGGAGGTCCAAGGGATGGGGCCTGCATGGAAGAGATTTTTTTTTTTTTTTTTGAGATGGAGTCTCGCTCTGTTGCCCAGGCTGGAGTACAGGGGCACGATCTCGGCTCACTGCAACTTCTGCCTCCTGGGTTCAAGTGATTTCTGGCTGTTTTGTATTTTTACAGCCTGCACTCCAGGCTGGAGTGCAGTGGGGGCGATCTTGGCTCACTGCAACCTCTGCCTTCCAGGTTCAAGCGATTCTTCCGCCTTAGCCCCTTGAGTAGCTGGAATTATAAGCACACATCACCACGCCTGGCTAATTTTTTTTTTTTTCTGTATTTTTAGTGGAGACGGGGTTTCGTCATGTTGGCCAGGCTGGTCTTGAACCCCTGACCTCAAGTGATCCACCCATCTCGGCCTCCCAAAGTGCTGGGATTACAGGTGTCAGCCACTGTGCCCAGTCCACATGGTTCATTTTTTAAAAATTATTTTTTAATTAAAATGTATATCTAAGGCCAGTAGCAGTGACTCATGTCTGTAATCCCAGCACTGTGAGAGGCCAAAGTGGGGGGAATCACTTGAGCCTGGGAGTTCAGAATGGGCAATACAGTGAGACCCCATCTCTACCAAAAATTTTAAAAAGTAGCTGGGAGTGGTGGCATTTGCCTGTGGTGCCAGCTACTTGGGAGGCTGAGGTGGGAGGATGGCTGAAGCCTGTGAGGCTGCAGTGAGCTGTGATTGTACCACTGCACTCCAGCCTGAGTCACAGGCTGTCTCAAAGGCAAACAAAATAATGTTTATCTAAACAATAAAATGTAGGACAAATATAATCACAGAATATATGATAGCATTTTAAATTGAAAAAGCATTAGTGATTACATGGATTGTAAAATATCAAATACATAAAATTCTTGTGTTCCTAATAATGCTAGCAACAAAGCACATTTGGTTTTTACTAGGGCACCAAGGTACTTTAAAAAAAAGTTAGAGCCAGCCACAGTGGCTCGCACCTGTAATCCCAGCACTTTGGGAGGCCAAGGCAGGAGGATCACTTGAGCCCAGGAGTTTAAGATCTGAGCAATATAGAGAGATCTTGTCTCTATAAAAAATTTAAAAATTGGCTGGGCGCGGTGGCTCACGCCTGTAATCCCAGCACTTTGGGAGGCCGAGGCGGGCGGATCATGAGGTCAGGAGTTCAAGACCAACCTGGCCAACATAATGAAACCCTGTCTCTACCAAAAATACAAAAATTAGCTGAGTGTGGTGGCATGTGCCTGTAGTTCCAGCTACTCAGGAGGATGAGGCAGGAGAATTGGTAGAGCCCGGGAGGCAGAGGTTGTAGTGAGCCAAGACCATGCCATCGTACTCCAGCCTAGGTGACAGAGTGAGACTCCGTCTAAAAAAGAAAACTCAAAAAATGATCTGGTTGTGGTGACTTACGCCTGTAGTCCCACCCAGCTTCTCAAGAGGCTGAAGCAGGAGGATTGTTTGAGCCCAGGAGGTTGAGGCTGCAGTAGGTCATGATTGTGCTACTGTACTCGAGCCTGGGTAACAGAGCAAGATCCTATCTCAAAACAAACAAACAAACAAAAACCAATAAACCAAAAACATTTACCTAAACAATAAAAGAGAGGACAGATATAATCAGAATATATGACAGCATTTTAAACTGAAAAAGCACTAATGACTACAATGGATTATAAAACATCAAATACATGAAATTCTTGAGTTCCTTATAATACCAATAAGAAAGCACACTGGTCTTTGGTTTTTACTTGGGCACCAATGCATGCTGAAAAAAGTCAGACTTCATTTTTTAGAGCAGTTTTAGGTTCACAGCAAAATTGAGCAGAAGGTAGAGTTCTCATGTGTTTCTTTGCTCCTCCCCCTGCCCCCAGCCTCCCCACTATCAACACCCCCACACTTCAGGGGCAGATTTATTACAATCCCTGAACACACCATTGACACATCACCATCACCCAAAGTTCATAGCGTACAGCAGGGTTCAGTCTTGGGGCTGTACTGTACATTCCATGGGTTGGATAAATGTGTAATGATGTCTCCGCCATGGCAGCATCAGGCAGAGCAGTTTCACTGCTCTAACAAAATCCTCTGTCTGCCTATTCACCCGTCTCGTTAAAGCCAAACATTGTTTCTTTTTAGAGACAGGGTATCGCTCTGTCACCCAGGCTGAAGTGCAATGGCAATCACAGCCCATTGCAGCTTCCAACTCCTGGGCTGAAGTGATCCTCCTACCTCAGCCTCCAGTGGCTAGGACTGCAGGCATATGACCATCGCACCCAGCTAATTTTTTTTTTTTTTTTTGAGACGGAGTCTCGCTCTGTCGCCCAGGCAGGAGTGCAGTGCTGCCGTCTCGGCTCACTGCAAGCTCTGCCTCCCGGGTTCACACCATTCTCCTGCCTCAGCCTCCCGATTGGCTGGGACTACAGGCACTCACCACCACGCCCGGCTAATTGTATTTTTAGTAGAGACGGGATTTCGCCGTGTTAGCCAGAATGGTCTTGATCTCCTGACCTCGTGATCTGCCCGCCTTGGCCTCCCAAAGTGCTGGGACACCCAGCTAATTTTTTGTAGAGATAGGGTCTTGCTATGTTGCCCAGGCTGGTCTTGAATTCCTGGTCCTGCCTCAGCCTCCCAGAGCTCTGGGATTACAGGCGTGAACCACCGTGCCCAGCCCAAACACTCTGTTTTGGCCTGCTTTTAAAAACTGACCCCTGGCTGCGTTCAAAGGGTCAGAGTGTCTGAAACTGGCCTCTGCAGCAGGACCTGAACTACACATCTCCCAGTGGCCAGTGTGAGGATTCTCCCCACAAGAAACCACTGGAGGGGGCCGCCTCTAGCCTGTCCGGGTTAGGGGCTGCACAAGGAGCATCATGGACCTGGTTCAGGCCTCAGGAGGGGACCTGGGCTGGGGAAAATGTGGGACAGCATCGAGACAGTCCCACTCCTGCAGTAAGTCATGATTGTGCCACTGCACTCGAGCCTGGGTAAGAGAGCAAGATCCTATCTGAAAACAAACGAACAAACAAAAACCAATAAACCAAAAACATGTATCTAAACAATAAAATAGAGGACAGATATAATCACAGAATATATGACAGCATTTTAAATTGAAAAAGGGCCGGGCTAGACCTGGGGACAGTCTCAGCCATCTCCTTGCTGCGTCCACACATGTCCACCCCCACACCCACCCCCAGGCTGGCCCTCACAGAAGAGCAACAGCTGATGTTTGAGAAGCTGACTCTGTATTGCGACAGCTACATCCAGCTCATCCCCATTTCCTTCGTGCTGGGTGAGTTCCCCCTTCTGGCTGTTCTGGGTCCCCGTGGCCGCCCAGGCTCCAGACAGGCCAGGGGAGGACCACGAGGAGCTGAGGCAAGGGGCTGTCGTGGGGGAAGCGGGGACGCCAGCGGCAGGTCGGCGCCTCTCTGTAGTTCAGGGAAAGGTGCGGACTGCAGCCAGAGAGACTGAAGTTAGACGTTAGGTAAGACGTCCTGCTGCTAGCAATGAAAACCCCATTTTCTTTTCTTTTTTTTTTTTTTGAGACGGAGTCTTGCTCTGTCACCCAGGCTGGAGTGCAGTGGCCGGATCTCGGCTCACTGCAAGCTCCGCCTCCCGGGTTCATGCCATTCTCCTGCCTCAGCCTCCCGAGTAGCTGGGACTATAGGCGCCCGCCACCTCGCCCGGCTAGTTTTTTGTAATTTTTTTTTTAGTAGAGACGGGGTTTCACCGTGTTAGCCAGAATGGTCTCGATCTCCTGACCTCGTGATCCGCCCGTCTCGGCCTCCCAAAGTGCTGGGATTACAGGCTTGAGCCACCGCGCCCGGCCGAAAACCCCATTTTCTGAGGGAAGCGCTGACATCATGGTCCCTGGAGCCCCTGCGCGGGAGGGGAGGGTGTCTGGCGGATTTCTGGGACCAGCAGGGGGCCCCCCCGGGAGACAGAACCCTTGGAGCTCTCGCGCCTCCATGAGAGGCTCTGCCTGCCTCCCGCTCCTGAGCGCCTTCCAGGAGGGTTGGGGGCTAGGCCCGCTCGCAGCAGAAAGCTGGAGGAGCCGAGGCATCACCCGGCGCTGGGCCCTGGGCCCTGGCCGCAGCCTGGCCCCTTGCCCCTCGCCCCCCGCCCCTCCTGCCCAGGCTTCTACGTGACGCTGGTCGTGACCCGCTGGTGGAACCAGTACGAGAACCTGCCGTGGCCCGACCGCCTCATGAGCTTGGTGTCGGGCTTCGTCGAAGGCAAGGACGAGCAAGGCCGGCTGCTGCGGCGCACGCTCATCCGCTACGCCAACCTGGGCAACGTGCTCATCTTGCGCAGCGTCAGCACCGCGGTCTACAAGCGCTTCCCCAGCGCCCAGCACCTGGTGCAAGCAGGTGGGCTGATCCGGAGCAACGGGGCGGATGAGGCGGAGCCAGGGGCCATGATGGGCTCCGCAACAATGGAAGACGGGTGGAGCCAAAGTCCCCCGGACTCGGGGGATTGGGTGAAGCCAGGAGTGGGGTGGGGTCAAGATTTGGGGGTCCAATTGGGCGGGACAGAGTCAGGTGTCTGAAGGTGGGGCGAGGCCAGGAGCCCACCCTCCGAGAGTAGGTGTCTGAGGACCCTTGAGAGATAATGGAAAGAAGGGTGATGGCTTGGGAACTGGTGAGGTACTAGGGTCTACCTCCCTCTGCCCTTGCCCCTTCTGATCTCCGGTTTCCACTCTGGAGGTATGGGACATTGGTCTCTGACTCCCCCTCAGCCTTGCCTGAACTGGTCCTGGTTAATAAGACAGATCCAGGCTAGGCGTGGTGGCTCTCGCCTGTAACCCCAGCGCTTTCGGAGGCGAAGGTGGGAAGATCGCTTGAGCCCAGGAGTTTGAGACGCCCCTGAGCAACGTAGGGAGACCCCCATCTCTACAACAACATTAAAAATTAGCAGGGCATGGTGGCTTGTGCCTGTAGTCTGAGGCTGAGTATCGGGAGGCTGAGGTAGGAGGATCACTTGAGCCCAGGAATTCCAGGCTGCAGTGAGCTAGGATCGCATCACTGCATTCCAACCTAGGTGACAGAGCCAGACCCAGTCTCTGGAAATAAATAAATACCCTGCCCACATGCTCAGCCCAGAATAGCACATAGTAGGTGCTCAGAAATATTGTTGTTGTTGAAAGAAAGAAGATGGCAAAGGAGTGCTGAGGTTCCTATAGGTCAGCAGGTCCTGGCCTGGCCACCGGATGCCAGCCATCCCTTCTGCAGGTTCTCCCACCCACCGCTTTCTTCACTCCACTCTGCAGGCTTTATGACCCCGGCAGAACACAAGCAGTTGGAGAAGCTGAGCTTACCACACAACATGTTCTGGGTGCCCTGGGTGTGGTTTGCCAACCTGTCAATGAAGGCGTGGCTTGGAGGTCGAATCCGGGACCCTATCCTGCTCCAGAGCCTGCTGAACGTGAGTCCACTATGCAGACAGAGCTGCCGCGGAGTGGGAAGGGTTGTGGTCCACAGGAAACAAGGTTTCCTGCAAAGAAAAGGCTCGAGCTCCCGAGAGTCTTCCCAGAGCCTGAAGTGGGGTTGCAAAATCTTTTCCAACAGCATTCCACAGCCCGAGGTGGTCCCTCCTCAGATGCCCCTCCTTCCTCTCTGAGTCTGTGAGGTCCTGGTTCTTTTTTGATAGATGAGGAAGCTGAGACACAAAGAGGTTTAATGAGCTGCCCATGACCACACAGCCAGGAATGGACCATGAGTACCAGGCCCTGGTACTTGGAGAAGAGTGGGGGTGAGCCCAGGGTGGGGGCAGGTGGTGTTCAGAACCCCATCCCTCCCTGCTGCCCCCCAGGAGATGAACACCTTGCGCACTCAGTGTGGACACCTGTATGCCTACGACTGGATTAGTATTCCACTGGTGTATACACAGGTGAGGACTAGGCTGGCAAGGCTGCCCTTTTGGGAAACTGAGGCTGGAAGGACCAAGGAAGCAGCTGGGATGGGAAGGGCTCACCTAGAGGCTGAGTAAGTGGCTCCCCCAGGAGTTGGGTCCGCACTTTGAAGTTGGGTCTAGACTTTGAAGTGCCGAGTTCTTAGAGACCAGGCTCCTGCCTGACGCAGTCCAGTAGGGGTGGTGTGATTATCCCCATTTTAAAGAGAGGTTGGCCAGGCGCAGTGGCTCACACCTGTAATCCCAGCATGTTGGGAAGCTGAGGCAGGTGGATCACCTGAGGTCAGGAGTTCGAGACCAATCTGGCCAACATGGCAAACAAAACCCCATGTCTACTAAAAATACAAAAATTAGCTGGGCATGGTGGCGCATGCCTGTAATCCCAGCTACTTGGGAGGCTGAGGCAGGAGAATCGCTTGAACCCGGGAGGCGGAGGTTGCAGTGAGTGAAGATCGCACCACTGCACTCCAGCCTGGACGACAGAGCAAGACTCTGTCTCAAACAAACAAACAAAAAAAGGGGGGCGGTTAACAGAGACTCTAAGTCACGTGAGTGTGCAAGTCAGAACAAGGCCTCGGTCTCCTGTCTCAGACTCCCAGCCCCAGGAGCATCCTGATTTCAGGGTTCTCACCTAGTCCTTTGCTGCTGCACCCTCCTCTTCCTCGTCCTCCGCCAGGTGGTGACTGTGGCGGTGTACAGCTTCTTCCTGACTTGTCTAGTTGGGCGGCAGTTTCTGAACCCGGCCAAGGCCTACCCTGGCCATGAGCTGGACCTCGTTGTGCCCGTCTTCACATTCCTGCAGTTCTTCTTCTATGTTGGCTGGTTGAAGGTGAGCCTCTCCAGGGCCCCTCTCGGCTGGAGGCATGGCCAGAGGGGTCATGGCCAGCAGCTGCCTGAGACGAGGACGCATTGTCAGGAAAGGAAGGTCTCATGGGTAGAAAGCAGCGAGCAGGGCCCCGACCACAGCCCTCTGGTCTGCACATTCCCATGTTGTTACATATGAGGAAACTGAGACTCCAGCGGGGCCTTCTTGAGGCCTGAGTCTGCTTCCAAGGCTGCACCCAAGGCCCAGACTTAGCAGCTTGAGGGACAAGGAGAGCTCAGTCAGTCTAACCATTTGCTGCTCCCTCAAGAGAATATTCTTCAAACGTTTGTCCAGAGAATAGGGGAATTCATGGAATCGGAGTGGCAGTGGCAGGCCCTGCTGGTGAGGACACTTCTCATCTCTGCTTAAAACAAAGCCCTGAGGCCAGGTGCCGTGGCTCATGCCTGTAATCCCAACACTTTAGGAGGCCGAGGCGGGTGGATCACCTGAGGTCAGGAGTTCGAGACCAGCCTGACCAACATGGTGAAACTCCGTCTCTACTAAAAATACAAAAATTAGCCAAGCATGGTGGTGCACACCTGTAATCCCAGCTACTTGGGAGGCTGAGGCAGGAGGATCGCTTGAACCCCGGAGTCAGAGGTTGCGGTGAGCTGAGATCACACCACTGCACTCCAGCCTGGGCAAAAGAATGAAACTCCGTCTCAAACAACAACCACCACCACCACCACCACCACCACACACACACAAAAGCCCTAAGGTTCACTAGCCTCTGCCCTTTACAAGGCAGATTGGCACCACCTCTCCTTATTCAAGATGCCTGTTGGGGTGTCTTGTTCCTCACCTCGAGTGGCTTGTCCAGGTATTCCCTCCCACCACAGCCAGTACGCCAAACAGGAGTTCTCAATCCCAGTTTTCTCTCCAACTCTTTATCTTTCCTTCCTTCTGTTGCCCACCCACTCTCTCTCCCTTCCTACCTTCCTTTATTTTTTGGTAGTGGGGGTGTAAGTCTCCATCTCTGCCCTTCCTGTTGCTGTGACACACACACACACACACACACACACACACACGCATGCATTCCTATTCCTCTAAATTCCCCCTGCCCCCCAGTTATCTTTGGTTTCTACAGATCAAAACAAATCACACTTTTATGCTTGAAATTCTCCAAGGTGCCTCAGTGGCCTGCAAGATGTCCCCTGGACCCCGAAGGCAGAGGCGTGCCACCTCTTCGGGGCTTTGTTAGGGCATTTTAGAGATTGCTATCCAGGAATCTGCCCACCTAGACTGCCCTTTAGTTCAGCCCAGCTTCAGTATATATCTTTGTTGCAGGAATGAATAAAATTATGCAACTCCAGGTAAGATACATGAGGTGAGATAAAGGTGATGACTCAGTCGAGTGATACACTCAGGGACAACTGTGGGTGCTCAGGGAAGGACTGGCTCAGGACAGTTAGAGGGGCTGTGTCCAGAAGTGTGTGAGTGCCCACAGGTGTGGGGGGCTGGAGCCCTAAACTCTGGCTTTGAAGACAGTGGTCAGGCAGGAAGGGCATCATGTGGTGTGGAAATGGCAGCAGCTGAGGTTTAAGTGGGGAGGCTGGCTTTGAGGAGTCCTGCCTGAGGGTTTACAGAGCCTCACCTGTCCCCAAGGTGGCAGAGCAGCTCATCAACCCGTTTGGAGAGGACGATGATGATTTTGAGACCAACTGGATTGTCGACAGGAATTTGCAGGTATGGGGAGAGGGAGAGAGGCCATACCATGGACCTTCCCCACAGTGGACCCAAAGAGAGGACCCCACTGTTCTGTAGGGAGGTCTCACAGTGAATGATCACCCCTTCCCCTCCTCGCTCCTGCAGCCATTCACTCACAGGATGCTCACCTCAATCTTTGAGGCTGCAGGCAGGCACCCATCTCCCCATTTCACAGACAGGGAGACTGAGGTCCAGAGAGAGGGAGAGATTCCTCCAAGTCATCAGGCACGTACAAGGTCCTGCCTGGGATGACCTTTCTGTGGGACTTCTTCTGTCCCTGGTGACCAGGTGTCCCTGCTGGCTGTGGATGAGATGCACCAGGACCTGCCTCGGATGGAGCCAGACATGTACTGGAATGAGCCTGAGCCACACCCCCCCTACACAGCTGCTTCCGCCCAGTTCCGTCGAGCCTCCTTTATGGGCTCCACCTTCAACATCAGGTGTGGCCAGTGCCAGGGGGCTGGGTGGGAAGCCCCTCCTAGTGCAGGGGTCTGCCTAGGAACTTAGAATAGCACTAGGTAATACATACTGGGTGCCTCAGTAAGTGTCAGGCACTGTACTATGCTCTTTATAAATAGTAACTATTTTTTCCTCCCAATAATTTTGATTTGTTATCCCAAGTGTTCAGATGATTAAAGTACAGGTTCAGAAAGAGTAAGTTGCCCAAGGCCACATAGCTAGCAAATGGTGCATCTGCTACTCGAAGGACAGCCTGTGATCAGTGATGCAGTGGAAGGTTAGGACCTGGCTCCTGTCATCCAGAACTATATTTTCTTTTCTTTTTGAGACAGAGTCCCGCTCTGTCACCCAGGTTGGAGCGCAGTGTTGTGATCTCGGCTCACTGCAACCTCCGCCTCCTGGGTTCAAGTGATTCTCCTGCCTCAGCCTCCCTAGTAGCTGGGATTACAGGTGCCCACTACCACAACCGGATAATTTTTGTACTTTTAGTAGAGACGAGGTTTCACAATGTTGGCCAGGCTAGTCTCGAACTCCTGACCAGTAATCTGCCCGCTTTGGCCTCCCAAAGTGCTGGAATTATAGGTGTCAGAACTGTGTTTTCTGATAAGCTACGGTGCTTGGATGGGAAGTGGAAGTGGGGTTCCCTGGGATGGGGAAGGGGCAGCAAACATATCCTAGCAGGCAGCCAGGCCATCACAGGTACCTCCTGAATTGACTTTGTCCTACCGAGTAAAGGGCTCAGGCCACCCACAGCAGCCAGACTTATCCTCACATAGTCCCACTTCCCTGATTCCATCTGAATCCCTCTTGAGCTGCAGTGGGCTGAAGGGCTATCCCAGCTGGTCCTTTCTCCCCAGGACAAGAGTTGAAAGTGCCTTAGAGTGTTGGGCACACGTCAGGGTTCATACTCAAGGTTTTCTTCCACAGTATCCAGTGCTGTTCTCGGCTTGTTCTTTTCTCTTTCCATTTTTTGTTTTTTTGTTTTTTAAACGGAGTTTTGCCCTTGTTGCCCAGGCTGGAGTGCAGTGGCACAGTCTCGGCTCACTGCAACCTCTGCCTCCCAGGTTCAAACAATTCTCCTGCCTCAGCCTCCTGAGTAGCTGGGATTACGGGTGCCTGCCACCAAGCCTGGCTAATTTTTATATTTTTAGTAGAGACAGTTTCACCATGTTGGCCAGGATGGTCTCAAACTCCTGACCTCAGGTGATCCACCCTCCTCGGCCTCCCAAAGTGCTGGGATTACAAGTGTGAGTCACCGTGCCTGGCCACTTGTTCTTTTAAGAACCAAGTATCCTACTGGACTGCAATCGAGTTTAACTAGAGTCTATAGTTTGAGGAAGAGTTGGGAAGGTGATCAAATGAAGGCTGGAGGCTTGCTTAGGTCATAAACATTTCTGGAGGATGACTTTGAGCCCTACATGGTCTGTACCCCAGCAGCTGAAGGTTGTGGGGGGGAAAGCTGAAAACAGAACAATAAAGCGTAGACCTTGTCTCCAAGGAATGCGCAATTTACGGAGGGAGCTCAAACCCAAGCCTCAAACTGTGGATACAAGGTACAAAGTACTGGACATCTAGGAAAGGGACAGAACATGGAACACAGTCACCTTTGTCTGCCTGGAGGCGGCTTCCAGCAGGGTGTGGAGCTGGGCCATGGAGCATGGGAAGAATCTGAACTTGGGCAAGGGCAGGCCATACTCTGTGGTAGATAAGCTTTCCCTTGCAGGGTAAAGGTCTTGGGCTCCTGGGATGCCTGTTGCTAGGAAGCCAAATTTCCCTTTGTGGATGTCGCTCCCAGTTGGAACCACAAATCCCTGGCATTGCCCAGAGTCACTCATGGGCCTCATCTGAACCACTCATGCTAGGGCACCAGTGTTTCTGACTGCCTGGAGTGAGGGGGTTTTAAAGGGGAAGTGAATGATGAGGAGGGCTTTACATGCCAGGCAGGGGTGGTTGAGGGGGTTGAGTGTTAACTCTGGTCAAGAGGGAGTCAACGAACAGTGAGGTGAGCAGGGCCTGGAGGGATCACCGGGAGGTACAGGATGGATCAGGAGAGAGGTGAGAGCTGGGGTATTGTGAGGAAGATGGTGTGGCCTTGGCTTGGGCCAACCGAGAGAGGGGAGGGGGTAAGGGAGAAGGCCAGGTGTTAGTCCTTTGTCCACTGGCCCAGCCCTGCATCTCCTGCTTCTTTCCAGCCTGAACAAAGAGGAGATGGAGTTTCAGCCCAATCAGGAGGACGAAGAGGACGCTCACACTGGCATCATTGGCCGCTTCCTAGGGCTGCAGTCCCATGATCACCATCCTCCCAGGGCAAACTCAAGGACCAAACTACTGTGGCCCAAGAGGGAATCCCTTCTCCACGAGGGCCTGCCCAAAAACCACAAGGCAGTCAAACAGAACGTTAGGGGCCAGGAAGACAACAAGGCCTGGAAGCTTAAAGCTGTAGACGCCTTCAAGTCTGCCCCACTGTATCAGAGGCCAGGCTACTACAGTGCCCCACAGACGCCCCTCAGCCCCACTCCCATGTTCTTCCCCCCAGAACCATCAGTGCTGTCAAGGCTTCACAGTGTCACAGGCATAGACACCAAAGACAAAAGCCTAAAGACTGTGAGTTCTGGGGCCAAGAACAGTTCTGAATTGCTCTCAGGGAGCGATGGGGCCTTGATGGAGCACTCAGAAGTATCTCACGTGAGGAGGAAAACCGTGGAGTTTAACCTGACGGATATGCCAGAGATCCCCGAAAATCATCTCAAAAAACCTTTGGAACTATCAACAACCAACATACACGCTACACTAAAAGATCACGTGGATCCTTATTGGGCCTTGGAAAACAGGTCTGTCCTCCACCCGAACCAGGGGCACTGTATTGCCTTGTGCCCCACCCCAGCTTCCCTTGCTCTGAAGCTACCCTTCCTCCACAATTTCCTAGGGTTCCATCACTGCCAGAGCACGCTGGACCTACGCCCAGCACTGGCTTGGGGTATATACTTGGCCACCTCCACAGGGGTCCTAGGGAAGTGATCGGGACCTTTTCTCACTTCACCCAAGAGCCTGGTATCAGCAGGAAGACTTCTAGGGAGCAGGTGAAGGCAGCTGAGGTTGTGCTGACCAGAGCGCTGCTAGAGAACTGTCCCAGGGCTGACAGGCCAGGTTTAGCTGAACAGATGTTAGCACTGGCCCCAACTTACTTTGAGCAAGGGTGGCTGACCTAAAACCATGGGGTGGCAGTCAGCTGGATGACAGATGAACACTTCCCCATAACCATTTAGGGTAGTACCCAAGCACTAGTGATGGTGACATTGAGGGTGTCCGGGGCCCTTAGGTCATTTTCTCACTGCCTGGGGCACCTCACCAAAATACTTCACGCTTCCTTGGGGTCAGCCCAAAGCTGTCACAAAATCAGATGTTTCCCTTTATTCCAGATTTCCTGGGCACTTTCACCCAACTGGAAACACCCCACTTCAGCCCCAATCATGAGGGGAGGAAGTGTATAACTTCCCTTTTCTGGATTCTCAAGCAGTTACTTTCAGTCAGAACACCCAGCTATTATAATTGAAAACTTAAAAGGGCAACAGTTTTCAGTCTTGCTTCTAGGGCTAGACAGGAACTTGGCAAACATCTGTGGCTTGTTTAGCAAAGGATGTTATTTCAGAATCTTGTCTTGGGCTGGGTGTGGAGGCAGGCAGATCATGTGAGGTCAGGAGTTTGAGACCAACCTAGCCAACACGAAACCCTACCAAAATAATACAAAAATCAGCTGGGTGTTGTGGCATGTGCCTGTGGTCCCAACTCAGGAGGATGAGGGGAGAATTGCTTGAACAGGAGGCGGAGGTTGCACTGAGACTGAGCAACTGCACTCCAGCCTGGGCGATGGAGTGAGACCCTGTCTCAAAAAAAAAAAAAAAAAAAAAAGAATCCTCTCAACCTTTGTTCTCCTACTGCAACATTTTAGTATTTGAAATGAAGGTTCCTTCCATATTCACACTGTTAATTCTCTCCCATTCTCACTAGGGATGAAGCACATTCCTAACGTGCTTCCCAACGGGGATGCTTCGCCAGCCAGGTCCTCTCCGGTGTGTACACCAGCAGGACACCGATCCAGTCACAGCCATACAGCTGTCCACACTGAAGAGCATGTCCTATGACAGCCTGAATCAAATGGTTAGTTTAATAGATAAAATCAGCAGTCCAGGACTACTTCAGCCTTTAATGCCTTTCATTCATAAAAATTGTGAAAGCTAGACTGAACCATCGGAAACATTTAGCTCAGACACTGGATTGAGAGTCAGGAACCCTTAATCCTGTCTGAATCCAAGACAGCCATACCTTAGTATACTGCCCAAACTAAGGCGTTTAATAAATACAAATACTCTGTTTCTTTTTGATTAGTGTGATTAGAACTGAGCAACGGCACTTAAGGAATCTGGAAGATAGACTGGATAGATTTCTGATGCATCCCAAGACCTCAAAGACAACACCTGGGTACCAAATTTCTTTATTTGAAGGAATGGTACAAATCAAAGAACTTAAGTGGATGTTTTGGTACAACTTATAGAAAAGGTAAAGGAAACCCCAACATGCATGCACTGCCTTGGTGACCAGGGAAGTCACCCCATGGCTATGGGGAAATTAGCCTGAGGCTTAGCTTTCATTATCACTGTCTCCCAGGGTGTGCTTGTCAAAGAGATACTCTGCCAAGCCAGATTCGGGTGCTCCCATCTTGCGCAAGTTGGTCACGTGGTCACCCAATTCTTTGATGGCTTTCACCTGCTCATTCAGGTAATGTGTCTCAATGAAGTCACACAACTACAAAACAATGGGCAAGACAGTTAGTGGGCAGCTTTCCCAATCCCTAAGGCAAATGATTTCCTCTATTTCCTGGGTTTCCAGTACTCACATGGGGGTCATTTTTGTCAGTGGCCAGTTTGTGCAGTTCCAGTAGTGACTGATTCACATTTTTTTCCAAATGTAAAGCACACTCCATCGCATTCAGCCCGCTCTCCCAGTCGTCATAGTCTGGTTTCTGAACGAGGAGGATAGGTTAATGCATCTCTACCAACTAACCTACAAATCAGCAAGCCCGTCATCTCTAACCACCACGCTTTGGCAAAAGGGACATTACTATTTGCCTAATTTAGTTTAGATGGTAAGCCTAAAAAAACCACAAAAGGCAAAAGCCCAGTGTATCATCACTTTATAAGGGCAACTGCTAGTTTAAGTGATTTCTGATACCCAAACACGGCTAGATGATGAAGTATGACACCCCTAGGATCTTTTGTTCACCTTAATATCCTGAAGGAAGATTCGGCCACCTCGTTGGTTCTGCAGCTTCATCAGTTTCTCGGCATGTTCCCTTTCCTCATGAGATTGGTGAAGAAAGTATTTGGCAAAGTTCTTCAAAGCCACATCATCGCGGTCAAAGTAGTAAGACTGAAAGGAGAACACTGAATGTGTTATATTAGGGATCCCCAAAGACAGGTAGCTGTGATGGTCTACACTGAGGCAAGATGGTCTAGATAGTCAGCCTAGGCTTCCTTTCTCAAGGCGCAGCATGAAGGGGTCAGTGCCCAAGGAAACTGGGGGCAGATGAGCTACTGGATTGAACCCAACAGTAATCTTTCTATTCTAATAGAAAACTGAAACTTGATCCTTCAAAGTTTACTTCAAGGACTTCAAGGAACCTTTAGATTATGGGCATTGCCTGGGGCAATGTCTTAAGGATCTATATTAGTGCACAGAAAACTTTCATTGTCTGATGAGAGGGTGCTGGGGTACTGATCCCGCACTTAGTCCTTTTCTCCTCCCTGTTCCTGGATTAACCATCTTAAACCATGGTTAAAACAAAGAGCTCAGGAGCCTGCCAGCTGTACCGCGATTTATTTATAAAATTAAAAACCCCTACTGGGCGCAGTGGCTCACGCCTGTAATCCCAGTACTTTGGGAGGCCGAGACGGTTGGATCACGAGGTCAGGAGACCATCCTGGCCAACATGGTGAAACCCACTCTCTACTAAAAATACAAAAAATTAGCCGGGCGTGGTGGCGGGCGCCTGTAATTCCAGTTACTCAGGAGGCTGAGGTAAAAGAATCGCTTGAACCCGGGAGGCGGAGGCTGCAGTGAGCCGAGATCGTGCCACTGCACTCCAGTCTGGGCGACAGAGCAAGACTCTGTCTCAAAATAAATAAATAAATAAAAATTTAAAACGCCCATGCAAGGTGACAAATGTGGGCAGTATGTTGATGCAAATATACTTTTAAAATACTTGTATCACAAAAATTTGATTTTCAGTTTTAGACATTTGATGTAGTCAAGTGCTTCTGAAAGGCAATGACAGTCACAGAAATACAGGCCTGTTTTCAAATCCATTTGGAACACATTCTTGGGATAGTTTGGACAATCACAAGGCAATTCTAGGAAGACTCCCACGACACTGCCTAAGACCAAGATTTGGGAAAACTGATTCCACTGATCACTGAAAAATTTATTGCCCAGTAACTGTCGGTGGACTTTATCCAAGAACTGGAGGTTCACTTAGTACGCCACACCTCTTACAGTAAGATACATAAAAGATAAAAATTAAGTTCCCTAGACGCAAGGTCAGGTGACACTTCGGTGACTGCAGAAGGGGCGATTTCTGGAGATATGCTTCAATGCAAGTGGGACTTAGAGATAAGCAGAGCCGAGAAGTGGATAGGGCTGCTCCAGAGGGATCTGCCCTCAAGATAAGCCACTTCGCGCCAGCCCCTAGGGTTTGCTGTTCGACACCGTTACCCAGCAGGCCCGCCATACCTAGGGGACTGAAGCTGGATACCTAAGCAAAAAACGCTGGGTTTCAGAGCCAACTGCCGGAGGCAGAGAAAAAGATGGGAGTGCAAAACTCCACCTTCCTAACCGCAGGATTGATCGCACGGGCTGACAGTTTTGCAAACCCAGGATTTCAGGACAGCCAACTCTCCTTAAAAAAAAGAACGGTGTGCAGAGGCGGCCCCGGCCTAGAAGGGAGCCTTCCCAGCGTACAGCCGAGAAGAACCAGCTGCCCCGACTTTCTGCGCCAGAGAAGTCCTCGGAAACCTCGAGCAGCCTCCATTTTCCAGAAGGGCGCAGGGAGGCGGGGGATCCCGCGGGTGGCCACACCCCCGGCCCGCCCCAGCGCGCGCCCCGGGAACCGCGCCCGACCCCCGCCACCGCCCCGAGCCGCCCGCGCTCACCATGGACAGGTAAACGTAGGAAGCGTAGAGCTCCAGGTTGATCTGGCGGTTGATGGCGGCCTCTGAGTCCTGGTGGTAGTTCTGGCGCACCTGCGAGGTGGACGCGGTCGTCATGGCGGAGGCTAAGGACAGGCGGCGGCGGCGGTGGCTGCGCGGCGCTGGAGCGGCGGCGGGGGCCTTGGGGCGGTCCGAGGACGCGGTGAAGAGGAGACGGAAGGCTGGCTATGGGCGGCCGGCCGGGATGGGGGACGAGCGCCGGGTTCCGTCCAAGCACTGTTGAAGCAGGAAACCCCGACGACTCTCGGCGAAGAACGTTTGGCGCAGCGGGTAGCTTGCGGTCTCTTATAGCGGCGGCGGCGTCAGGCCCGCCCCGGCCAATCAGCACCGCCCGCCCCGCGCCCGCTCCTTCCGGTGGGCGCGGGGCCCCGCCTGCGGTGGGGGAGGGGCGGCCGCTGGAGGCCCTCGCGCGCTCTGGCGGAGCTCGGGAGCGGGGACCGGTACCGGACTGCCTCGGGGACAGTGGTGTCGTCTCTGTGCCCCTGGGGCCCATTTAGTGGAGTTGGAGGGAAGCTGCGAGGAGGCGCGGGAAGTCCACCTCAGAGCCCCCCGCTCTAGGTGTGCCCGGACCTTGGAACCGGCGGGGGCGGGGTGCGGCGGCGCATGGGGTGATCCTGATTTGGCTCCCATTTTCCCGAACGAGCACCCTGAGGCTCCTGGCCCGGGGCATGGTGTTAAAAATCATAGCTGCGGGGAAGCCCTTGTGACATCTTGCTGCAGATTGAGAAGGTGGAAGGTGGAGACGCGGGCCTTAACTTAGGTGGTCGAGCGCACTTTCTCTTCCTCAACAGTCCAGGAAGGAGCGCCATGGAGAAGTGGGGCTCACGGCGGGTTTCGGGTCCGCCCCTGCCCTTCTGATTCCGGCGACCACGTCTGCCTTTGGCTGAAAGCAAATATGGCTCCGAGTGCAGTTTCTACAACAAAGGCTGGGCGGGCCGGGTTTCCCTAGGGATGGGGACCGCCTCCCCTGGGGGTCTTGGGAGTGAGCCACCGGGGCTTCCGAGAGAATCGCTGGAGTCGCTTCGCACCCAAGGGACACATCTCGGGTTAGAAAGGAGAAGCGACGTGGATCTAAAGGCGAAGCCCATGCTGAGGCCTTTTCAAAATGGCCTCTTACCAGCCACACTCACAGGAGCTTCAGGCTTCGGCGGCCCTGTAGGACAACCCCCGGGTGTCATTGGAGAAAAGCTGACGGGGTTGATGGCGGGTGACAGGTGAAAGAGACCCCGGATGGGCGGGGCCAGTGTGTGTGGCTTGCAGTTGAGTCCCAGGCACAGGGTGGATGTGAATTTATGGGTGGCAGAGCTGGAGCTAGGCCCTGCCCCTACCTAGGTCCTGGCTTCGAGGTCCACTGTTGTGTTGCATCTTTTGACGCATCGGTGGAAGAACTATTAATTTCAGGATGCTCACAAACCTGCAGCTGAAAGCTAGACTTCCAAACCTTATTTTAAAAAAGCAACTCTACTGAAATATTAAAAACAAATTGCTTGGCCGGGCGCGGTGGCTCAAGCCTGTAATCCCAGCACTTTGGGAGGCCGAGACGGGCGGATCACTTGAGGTCAGGAGTTGGAGATAGGCCTGGCTAACTAACATGGCGAAACCCCTCTCTACTAAAAATACAAAAATTAGCCGGGTGTGGTGGCATGCACCTGTAATCCTAGCTACTCTGGAGGCTGAGGCGGGAGAATCGCTTGAACCTGGGAGGCGAGGGTTGCAGTGAGCCGAGATCGCGCCATTGCACTCCAGCCTGGAAGACAAAGCAAAACTCCGTGTCAAAAAAAAAAAAAAAAAAAAAAAAAAAAACAAATTGCCGACGGAATTAGGGTGATTTCTTTTTCACGGTTTCATTAAATGCACCTATGTTACTTACAGGAAAAAATTTTTCGTGGTGCTAGAGCTACAAGAATAAGGTAAACAGAAGGATGCTCCTGGACCAGGAGTACCTTACCCAGTCTGGGATAGGAGGAGGTCAGGGAAGCCTTCCCTGAGCAAGACCCCTGAGCTAAGTTTGCAGAAAAAGTTAAAAGCAAGGTGAAGTGCAGGAGGGAAACAGGGAAGGGAATTTAGAGCAGAGTGAACAGCATATGAAAGGTGTGGAAATGTGGAAATGC